GATCGTCCAATTGTCACAGCGGTGAGCCTTTTCTTTTTTGGTTGCAGTTAGCATTTGGCGTGAGTCGTACAAATACTATGATCATTTTGAACAAACGTGAGTGACACTGTATTTTGAGAATGAATTAATTCATCGAAAAAGTTGTGTTCTTCAGGATTTGGATATGAAGTCGTTGCTGATGGAAGCGTACTATAAGGGACAACAAGAGCTGCTTTTTGTCGTACCGTTCATCGCGAAAATCATCGTTTCGTGCAGTAAGAGCGGTGTATGTTGATATTTACTTTATCACCTTATCGACAGATTCGTTGCGAGCGTAATTTCTGAAGTCGATTATTTCTTCGATGCGAATTTGTGAAAGAGAAAACTTCTTTATTGTTTCAGGTGTTCAGTGCGGATTGTGCGTGGATACGTGCCATAATGCGTATATTAGCCGAGTTGCACAATGAACCGGATTTGAAGCTGAATTTGAAATTTGAAATAGAAGTGTTATGCAAAGAACTGAGTATCGATCTACGAGCAGTTAGTATTGAGGGTGTGCTCAAAGACACTGAACGCTTGCTTCGAGTACCACAGCAGTTGAGTGACCTCAAGATGCTGAAACAACCTGAAATGCACGTGAGTGTTATGATACATATCGCAGCTGTTTTTCTTCCAGTTATAGTGTTGCTTCACTGAATGGAGCGTAACTTATTCAGTTGAGCTGTGATATTGCATGAGGGTGCCATCAATTGAATGAGTTACTTTACGAGTGAATTCGATGATGTGTTCGGGAGTTTGTATCGTGATCGAGCACTTCAGATTGGTACATCACCTGTGGCTGGCGTACGTCTGGGCGCAGATGGAACTGTGGAAACTGGAGCAGGAACACCGCGACAAATATCAACGCCTGTTAGTGAGATTGAAACAGTGGGCGTAGCATCGCAACCAGGCGTTACCGTTGCTGGTATGCATCTTTTACGAGAACTTTTCTTAGAAGCATTTCACTTCAGTTGCATCTTATTCATCTCACTCATGATGGCTAGCCGCTAATCGGGATCGTTTGTATGAATTCATGGAAATGGAAAGGTTTTATGAACTTCAGTCAATTTTCATAAGTCGACTTGATGAACTGATCACTCAATTGTAAGGTGTTTTTCAACGTTAGCGATCATCTGAGAAGTGATCATTCATTCATTCTCAATTTTATTGACATATGTAACCATTCGATGGAGATTGGTGATGAGATTTGTCTGAATGACTACTTGAAAGCTTAACTGGATTTTTTCCATTGATGTCGTTTTCAGCAAGTCAGGCACAAAGTGTTGCACAACAACTGCAACCATCTGCACATTTCCATTACCATGATATCAACGTGGTATCGTTCGATGGCCTTGTGCCGCATCTTAAACTGTCTGCTTCGTTACCGCTCTTCCAGGTTGTTCTCGTTGCTAATCGATTGCATTCTCAATAATCACAAATTTGTTGTCTATTGAAACCCGCTTTAATTTTTGTAACTTTTTCAAAATAGCAAATGAGGTCTGAAAAATTCATTCCCGGTGCTGCTCGATATGTTTTTTTTGTTTTTCTCGTAGAGCGTTAAATTTAACTTGAAAAAGGATATGCGTTTGGCGATGTAAATTCATTTTGTTTGAATGCAGTGTGATAAATTCGTGCAGCGTCAAAAATTGAATTAATTTCGTGTAATCAACATTATTTTGTAAGTGTATCTGTAATAGAGGTGTCAATAATAATTTAGATGAATCCTCAACTGAAACATGTCGTACGACCAGCCATAAGTCACGCAATCAAGGAACTGATTGGACCGGTCGTTGAGCGCGCTATCAAAATCGCTATGCACGTCACGGAGCATATTTGCAAAAAGGTTATCTTACACTTACTCTCCGTCTTTTTTGACTTTTATGATTATTAGCAAAACAACTGCCGATATTCGAAGGTGCAGTTATCGTTGACATTTGTCATTATGTTGCAATATGTGTGCTGAAGCTGGAATTTTTAAGTTCCAAAATTGCAA